AACTCTTTAATGTGTTTGCAAGTTAAGGTTTTCCGTAAGGCTCCGTAACTTATTTTACAGCTTCTCCGAGCATGATCGGCAAATCAACACATCTTTGAATGAAAAGACCAAAATTGGCTTAAACCCTAAAAAAAGGACCAGTCTCTCAACGTTGAAAACCTAAATAAGAAAAATAAAAAAAGAGGCAAACCTCTTTTTCTACGGTGCTTTTATGAGCACTTCTTCCCCCTTCTATTTTTTATATGTTTTTTTTTTTTTTTTAAATTTTGTGAATGTTTTTTATAGCTTAATTTTTTACTGTGTGTTTTTTAAAAATATATTTTTCTTACTTTACTCTTATAAAAATAATTTCTTTCTATTTAATATTTTTTTATCAATGATTACAATTGTTTTCTTAAAATGTGCGTAATGCCTTTCTCATTATTTATAAAAAATAAACTTTTTAAATATGTCAATATTATAATACATGCAAAGTACGTTCTCAAGCTAACTCACTCAAAAAGAGAGGGGAAAAAAAAACGCTTTGTTCGACGATGGCTATGAGCCATGATGAGGGAGTCATAATGCTCTTTATGCTTAAGCGCCACAACAAATAAAATTGTTGGACCTTATTTGTAGATAGATATTATAGAATTGAAATCACTTCTTTAAGATTCTGTTTATTTTATCGATATAAATTTTATTATAATAAAAAAATTTTAAAAACAGTCATATTTAATTTTTTTACTATAATAAAAAATTATCACATAAAATTTTATTTTTAATTCAAATTAAAAATTTAAATTAACAAATTAAACAGATTTTATATGTGTTCTTTAATCACCGGTTGCCATTTTTCACATGGCACAATCTTTTACACATTTTGTTTGGTAGTGGGTAATATTGTTCAACCCTTACTGACCAATACACAACTTGATGCCTGCGGTGGGACATGCGTGAGGGACACGTTCCAAAAACAAAAACAAAAAAAACAAAAAAAAAATTTGTCTCAACTCTCAAATTCCATTATTTGTACTGTGGAGTCAATTTTCACGTGAGGACAGCATGCAAATTAATCAAAGGTGAATATTACTTTTTTACGAACATATAGGTTGATCATCATCCGCTATTAGAATTACATGCAAATATTTTTTATTTTTTTATTTTTTATGAATTTAGTTAACATTTTAGAAAAATAAAACGTAGCACAACAAATAGCAAAATTCAGAATAAGCCACCAAATAAAAGAGAATTTGAGAAGGAGATGAGTATATAGACAAAATCGTTATTTCATAATATAATAAAAATTAAATGAGTCAGCGACTTTTACGTGACACTTAACGTTAATAATTTAACCGAGTGAGCGAAAAAAAAAAGATGCATGCTAACGGCTAATTGTCCAGGAGAAAAATTTGTTATTTTAAAATTTAGAGAGTATTTTGTTACAAGTCTAATAGTCCAATTGTTTACTGTTGTTGGTGTGTTGATTTTGGCCTGGATAAGATCCGTTTTACCATTAGATTATATGGAGCTTTGTTTGCTGCAAATTTTCAAACAAAACGTTGGCAACTATATATCCACATATAGATTAATATTGTACATTTTCCAACATAAACTATACAAGATTTGAATTCTTACTTTTCTTTGTTGTACAGAAAAACGACGAGTACATATATACAAAGTAATTTCTCATCATGAGCAGTCACTTTTTTCGTGATATGTGATATATATATATATATATTTATAAAGCACAGACAACGGTCTGACTTTTTTTAAAAAAACTTTATTCGAACCAAAATTAGGATAATAGATAGTCCAACAGAAACGAGAATATATAGTAGGCCCAGCATGTTGGGATTGCATAATTTGCGTCTTAACTTTGCTCACGATACTCGGGAGTCGGGGCTCAAATTGTCAATTCTCAAGTTATTACAGTCACGTTCAGAAAATAGCTAGGTGTATAGTGGAGACCCACTTTAAATCAAGTTGTCTCAAGTTATGGATGTAACGGGACAGCCCAAATTGGCAGTATCACAACCTCTAGGTGGACGGTTCATCAATTTAAAATTATTTTTAATTTACGTGTATTTTTATGAGAAAAAAAATATTATAATAAATTATTAATTATGATTCAAATCATGATATGAATCTTTATACTAAACACTCTTTAGAGTACTCAAGATGTTTTGATAATACTTCTTTTTCCGAGAAATACAAATGACGTGAGAGAGATATATAGTAAAAGTTGTTATACACCCCGCGCGCGCACATATATATATATATATATATATATATATGTATATATGGTAAAAAAAAAGTTGCATATGTTACGAGAACCTTGTTTGAGTGACTCTATATTAGGATTTTGCATATAGGTTTTTTTTTTGTTTTTTTTTCCGTTATTGTCTATAAGCTCTTCATCTTTTTTTTTTGATACCTTTCTTGATGGTATTTGCAATTTACGTAATTATAATTAAAAGAATCACCACATTGCCTTGGAGAGAGAGAGAGAAAGAGAGAGAGATCAGCCTCTGGGCAAATACTTGAGCTGTAAGTGTCTTCATTGTCGTTTAATTTGAAAATTAATTTCTTACACTTCATATGGCTTGAACTATCATTCTGATCATTAGAAATACTTGAACGCGTAACAACAACAACAACAACAAAAAAAGATCCCAATTCACCCCAAGTCAATCGTGATGATATAATTGCGATGACTAGCTGGTCGTTATCATTTGTTTGCATGCCTGTTATGCATGCTACTATGTTTCCAAAACAGACACACACCAGTACACAGACTACAGAGTAATGCTATTCACGTCCAGACAAAAAAAAAATTTCAACAACACAATAATACCAAACCAGCCCTAACTAATTATTAAAAGGTTGTGTTATGGGTTTGGGTCTACTAATTTCATTTTTCGAAAAGTTTTTTTTTTCACGAAATTTTTTTTACTATATAAATTATATTTTATCTGTCGTAAATAAAATATTTACATAATAAACTGTTATTTATTTTAAATAGTTATAAAATATGTTATTTATTTAATTTATAAAAATCTATTATTTATTACAATTTCCGTTGAGAGATTGACGTGATATTACTTGATTAATAACGTTACTCATTATAAGCAAGCTCTGTTAGACCATGTATTTCTTAATCTCTTAACGTAAAAATAAAAAAAATAAAAAAAAAAGAGGCGAACCTCTTTTTTCTACGGTGCTTTTATGAGCACTTCTTCCCCCTTCTTTTTTCTTTTTGTTCTTTTCTCAAGTGCCTCCAACACACCACCACGTGTGCAAACACAACACCACGTTCAGTTTGATCGTATAAAAAAAACCACGTTCACCTACTGCTCAAAATGTTGGACTGGTAGCTAGCTGCAAGGTCTCTTTCATTTTACAGATTTGAGTTTTTAATTTTAATTTTGTTACAGTTAAAAACTCTCATAAAAAATTATATATAACTTTTTCTCTACAGTAAAAAATTTTCACATAAAATCACATCTCAACTCAAATTGATAATTCGAATCAATGAACTTAACGAGGCCTTAAGCTCCACACATATATATCATTAGGATTAATTTCAAAAATTTCCCCTAAACTATACCCCTTGTAACACTTTGTTGTCCAAATTTTAGAACGTAACATCCGCTCCCCCCAAATTTTATTCCGTTAACAAGCTTTCCCCTTCTGTTACAATGAGTGATGAAAATTTCACATGTCACTTATTTAGTGAGATTTAAAAGTGCAATTACGCTTATACTCTCCTAATCAGATTAGATCTCACGGATTAATCGATAGAATTCACCATCTTCGTTCCCAAAAACTAGGTCTTTTTTTTTCTCACCTCATTCATCAATGACGAGTTCCTCGTTCATCTTCGTTCCCTTGCCCTGTTTTCCTACCGACTCTTTTTTCTCTTGTTCGTTGCTACACTGCCTCTCATTCTCTTCCGGTTTCTCCGGCACACCTATTTCCATACTCAGTCGTGGATCTCTCACTTTTCTTTGTTCTTTATTGTGGGATGTTAGTTCGTTCTACGTTGAAATTCTTGCTTTAATTTGGTTATGCCTATTTTTTTTCCCTTTGAATTTCTCTCTAGACAATGTTTGGAATCCGTTAAACCATCTAATCAAAGCCCAATATTAATGCACATTCATGGGGTGATGGATTTTCTTTCATTATTTGTTTTGTTTCTTTTTTTTTCCTCTCTTATTCTTTTTTTCATTGGGTTGTTGCTTGCTATGGGGTTTTTTTAGTTGCCTTTTGTTTTCCTTTGTGTGTTAAAGTATTTGTTCTTATATGATAATTTTTTAGGACTTCAGTTTGAGATATTACACTTGTTGGAGATGTAGCCAAGGCTGATTGTGTATCTCTGTTTTTTTTCCTTATGGTGATTGGTGCATTCATCACCGCTCCTATGGGAGGAGAAATCAAATGTGCTACATGGAGTGGAGGCGAATGAGAGGTCTGTTGTAATAGATTAATCCTTTTTTTATTTACGCATTTAAGTTTTTTAATCCATTTTTTAATAACTTGGGGTCTTTAGTGGGTCATTTACATGACACGTGGTGAATTCCATCACTCATTATAATAGAAGGGGAAAACATGTTAACGAAATAAAGTTCAGAGGGAACGAATATTACATTTTAAAATTCGAAAAGTAAAGTGTTACAAGAATCATAATTTAAGGGAAATTTTTTGAAATTAATCCATATCATTATCACCTAGATAAAATGCCTCTTTTTTTTTTTTTGTATGGATAGCAATTTGCACGTCATTATGACCCAGTGATCACTGATGTTTTAAAACGTATAACTGAGGAAGTATTCTCTGTCTATATATTAGTTGATCTGCAAGTGACTTTTGAAAATCGCAATCGTACTTACTCTTCTAGTTGTGTGCACTACTCAAGTGCAGTTGGATTAGTAGTAGTAGTCGTCGTCATAGTTTCGTTTTTCGCTTTAGTTAATTATAATAATAATAATAATAATATATAATAAAACACAGATAAAGTCATGCACACGGAGGGCTGTTCCTCTACGTACGGGCGGGGTGAGAAAAGTGCATGGACAAGAGAGGAAGATATTCTTCTTAAGAAGTGCATAGACAAGTACGGTGAAGGAAAATGGCAACTTGCTCCTTCAAGGGCTGGTACTTAATATTTGTTTATCTTCATGACAGAGTTTATACTAGCTATATATATATATCTTTATATAATTTATTGCTGATATTTGCAACTCTGAGTACTATATAATTTGTTAATTACGTTTAGTGTTTGTTTCTTGATTTTTTTTCCTTTTTTTTTTTTTGTTCTTGGCAGGACTGAACAGATGCCGGAAAAGCTGTAGGCTGAGATGGATGAACTATCTGAAGCCGGATATCAAAAGAGGGGAATTCACAGCTGACGAAGTTGCTCTCATTCTTAGACTTCACAAGCTCTTAGGCAACAGGCAAGTGTAGTATAGTACTGTCAATTATATATACTCCATAATTCATAGATACATATGTATGATATATCCTCCCTATAGCTATCCAGGCTTGGAGTACCACCACATCCCCAGCTAAAATTATTAAGTCTTGCATTATGGCACTTTTCGAGTTGAAAATATGCACATTCAGCAACAAAAAAAAAAAAAAAAGTGATTTGAATGTGAATATAAAATTATAAAATTAAAAAAAAATAATGTATTATGTGTTTTATATCATGTGCGCATGTGCAATCTATCACGGGTTAATGCCCAATGGTGAGTAGGCACTCTTACCAGTTTAGACTTGCTCCCAGAATCGTCTCATACCGTTGGACCGTAGGAAATCTGTTGTCATCATGTATGAGGAAAAAGTTAATATTGCGGCGTTATAACTTAAAGTTTAAAATTTTGTGTAGTATGATTAAAAAAATATTTTACAAATATTAATGTAATTTTAATAGTATTTGTGTTTTGTCACGACGTTGGATCATACAAGTGAATTATGTGCTATCATTAATTACTTTTGATAATTACCAAACTAATGTTATGGTGACATATAACAAACATAATGCTAAACAAAGCTAGTTATAAATTATTTTTTGTATTAGTAATATAAAAAAGGGACTTTCTTCGGTGTTTTCTCATTTTTAGGAATACCGGTATTTATATTTTTTAGCCGTCATATATGTATTAGAATCTGTCTATTCTGCATATTTTTTTAATCTGATGTGATTTTGACCATTTAATGACTGAAAAAACAGAAAACACCAATATTCTCAAAAAAGAAGAAATGCCGGAGAAATTACCATAAAAAATAATGTAGCATTATTACTTGGCCTTATTACTTACTATAAGTGCATGATTGTGACAAAAGGACTAGTTAGATTCTTTACTGGCCTTGCTTCCTGAATGTGAACCTGTAACAAGTATATTCATGTGATATGTGTCATATATATGAATTGATCATCTTACATTTTCGTTTGTGCTAAATAACTATGCCACGTAGCTCAAAAAAAGAAAACTAAACCGCGCTTGTTTAAACAAATTATTGTAAAAAATTTGATGTTTTTTTCCTCAAATATCACGAAGAGAATATCTAATGTTCGTGTAAGAGAAGTAAATTATACGCGTATCTAACATCTACTATTAGATGCTCTTTTTCAAGGACAAGAGGTAGAGCTAGTACTTTAGGTTTGCGGTCTTCAACTTTACCGATTCGTTGCATAATTCAGTAGCAATTTACTTTCTTCAATATTTTATGGTTTTAGCTTTCAAAATAAATTACGCATATTCCTTATTAACTAAATTCAACTGTACTTATAGAAGTTAATTACCGTTTAAAAGAGAGAATATACTTGAAGGCTCATCATAAGACCGTTTGGACTAATTTGGGTCTAGACCATATATAGATGTTCTCTTTTTTTGCTGAATGACCATATATAGATGTTAGATAATGGTAATCTTACTCGAAATCGATATTCTCATCGTACATCAAGTATGAAAATACAGTCTGATTTTTTGGTCAAATATTTTCTGTTCAAATTGTTAATTTAAATATTTATGATTTCTTTGTCATTTATAGTAGCTTTGTAATATATAATTGATGTTATATATATATATATATATATATATATATATATTGTTTGCAGATGGGCGATGATTGCGGGTAGGATTCCAGGAAGGACAGCCAATGATGTGAAGAACTATTGGAATACTCACTTACGCAAGAAGGTGGCCTTGTTCCCTCATGACAAAAACACTAAAAATACAAACAACGATATTATTGCTAAATCCAACGTATTTAAGCCTCGTCCTCGGACCTTCAAAAAACAGCCCTCTTTGACGAACAAGAACAATAGTACTAGTAGTAGTACTACTGCTAATTTTGCAACCATTAACATTAACATGCAACCAACAGAAACAATAATAACAACAACAACATTAATTACAACAATAATAATAACAACGAGCCAGTAATACCGATTCTAGAGGACACCAAGTACTGGTGGGAAAGCTTATTAGATGACATCACATTCGACGACGGAGTCGCAAACTCCGTAAGCAGTACTGGTTTGTTAGATCATGGCCAGCCTAACAATGGCAATATTGCAAACTTTCTGTCTGAATTAGAAGCTGATCAACCAGCCTTGTCAATATCGCCGCGGCCAACTGATATAACGGATAGTGCTACTAGTACTTGTGTTAATCTCGTTGAAGATGATTATGGCCACCAAAATAGTTGGACAGACTTCATCATGGACGTGGAGCTTTGGGGTCTCCCTAGTACAGACCAAGGAAATGCTGAAATGCAGTAGCTAGTACTGTTCTATAACCATGTCTAATTTATAATTCCATACATTTTTTTTTTGTTTTAATTCATAGTATTTCGTGCGTTGAACTTTGGGACAAGAAATGAAAAGTTCGAAAATTCATCTACAATCTTAATATGTGTTAATCTGTCCTGTCTGTATTTTTAGACCGCCGACCGAACATGTGCTCGGATTTCTTTACGTTGTTTTCGCGGGTGTATAGTTAATGTAGTGTTTGAAATTTTAATAATATTCTGATATGGTCATGGAAAGGGTTCCTTCCAAATATCTCTTATATATATATATATATATATATATATTCTATATATAGTGGAATTGTTTGTTTTTATTCAAACAATATAATCAAGAAAACCATCGCTCTTTATCTTCATCACGTTCTCAAAAAGTGCGAGTGCTTACTCATGAAGGAAGCTTTTAACGTTTTCGGGCCAACTTTATTATCTTGACTACCTTTCGTGTTTTTCTTTTTTTTTTTTTTTTTTTCTATAAAACTTTGATTTTTAGTTAGAGCGAGAGAGGCCTCTATTTCGCAATCACATGAAAGAGATCGTGAGCAGATTTGTCAAGAAATTAAACGCGCAAAGTACCGTGAGTAACCATTTTCTTCAGTACGTATAAGGTGCTTATTTGCAACAAGAAACAAAGAGATTTATATAAACTTAAGAGCTCGCTTGGTAGGAAAGAAAAGTGGAACGAGGGAAAGGGTAATCGGGGAATTAGCAAAAGGACTTAGAGACTTATTAGGGAATTAATGAGTAAGGGATTTAAAATAAATTCAAAAATTCCAACTTAATTGGATCTTTTCAAATATAAAGAGATTAGGCAAGAGAATTAGTACCAAACACAATAAAAGAAAGAACGTCTGTTGCCGCTCTATTTTTCTCACCGACCATGTTATATGTCTTTTTTTTTTTCCTTTCCATTTTCTTCCCCTCTTATAAAACGTAGCCTAGATATTGGAGTTTGTAGGTTGTAACTACTACTTTTCACCTTATCCCGAACGCCTTTAGTAATTTGATTGCCCATTCTCTCCATGATTTGCTTCTCTTTCGTTTTGTTTTCCTCCCTTGGTCTCTTGTTTTTATAAAAACGAAAACAAAAACAAAAAACTCCAATGATCGATTTTTTCCCTTATGTCAAATAATATTCATTACATTCTGCAAAGAACGCAGGCATACTTTTCTTAGTACCAACTGATCACATAACCACATCACATCAAGAAAAAGAAGAATTATTTAAAAAAAAAAAAAAAAAGGAGCAGAAAAGAAGAAGAGCTAAAGGGCTCTGCGTACCGCGCTTAGCACCACAAGTTTACGGTTCTTTGTTTCAATAACATTATCCAACATGTGATATATATGGTGAGATCCGCAAGCATGCATATCGTGCACCATAATTATATGGCAAAATGATAAGGGTTTAAATCAGTGATGCTGACATTAGCACCTAATACACATAACTGTTTGTAACAAGCAGAAATTGACCACTCAACAAACTACGAGTCCTTGCTCCAAAACTTGTGATGCCCAAGTTGCTTTTCAGGCTTTAGCCAACAAACGAAATGTACATGAGAGAACGTGCCAGAATAGGGGACGACACTCCAAATGGTCCAGAAGAACTGGTCTCTAGTACTCGTGTGACTTTCGAAATAGAACCGGTGTGGCATGTCTGTGGCCCTCACACGACACGGGAAGAATTTCATGACGATATTATTTTAGAAAAACTAGTAGGAAGGCATACCCCTTGATTTTCTCTTGTTTTTCCCCTTATTGAAGGACAAAGCTAGGTTGCTCACCATTCAGGTTCTCCACTTTCAATAGGAAGACCATGAATGTAAGTTTTCCGTTTAAAATGCAAATCTTTCTTAGCATATAAAATTGATATTTTCTTTATTAAAAGAAAAGAACAAATAAGAATTATAATTGAAGATTCCATTGGAAGTGTTTGCATTGTATTATAAAATAAATTTTACGTTTTGGGAACAGTATAAGAAAAAAAGTTTTAAGCACAATGGAACATTGAATCAAAATAGCACAATTACCAAAATATCACTTCATACATAAATTATATTCCAAAAGCAAGAAAATAACAATCAAATTCTCTTTCCAGTATTTATTTTAAACTTCGAAATAGAAAACTTATAAATGTATTACTAAGATGTCTTTTTTACGTAGTTAATAATTATCGATTTATGACATTTAAACAAATTAGCAAGGATATATAAGTCATCTAAAAAAATAAGGATATATAAGTAATTTTCTTTTTCCTTTTATTGTACTGAGAATCAATACTAAAGGAGTAGCATACCCTTTTTCTTTTTTCCCTCACTCCTTAAACATTGTGTAGGGTCCATCAAACTGAAACTTAAATTTTATAAGTAAACACATTAATTAAATGAGAAAGAACACGCTTCCCTTAACACATACGCCAGGTGTCTTGTGATCATCCAATAGTCATATTGGCATAACATCCTACACGCAGTATCTCAATGCAAGTTACTCCAATTGGCCAAGACTAAAGCAAAGTAATGAACAGTAACTAAATTATTCATCGGTTCTTTACTAATGTTCAAAGAAGGGGAACGAATGAGATCTACTATTGGGAAGTCGGTTCGAGATTATGATTCAGTAAGCATCTTTGATCATTTCTTTTCCAGTGCAGTCGACAGAATCAAATCTTCCCACCAACCAAATTCTGTACAGATGCTTAACGGTAATAGAAAGATCCTAGTACAGAAATTTACACTAGAAACACTTCCCAGATTTCAATCCAAGGGCTTTGAAATGGTGGAACTTGCTAGCTTACAGATATAGAAAGCACCCGAATCTTCCCAAGGAACCCGACATTGTTGCAGATTGGGTAGCCTAAGCATGGCCTCTTTACAGCATACTGAAAGGTAACTCGGATTTGCTATGCAATGCGGCTAAGAAAGGCCGAGTGTGCAAATAGACTGGGAAGGTGAGAAGTGCCACAAACAAATCAGCTCAGCACTACTTGGCCTTCTTACAAGTGTTTAGTACTTTGTGCAAATGGAAAGCTTCACCTTGGTCCCCATTCAAGGATCTTCTCTCCAAACAGCAAGCCGTTAGCTGGCTCAGAAGCCTCTCGAGATAGGAGTGCAAACAACCACATGAATCTTTAAGGTTCGGATTCGTTGAGAGGATCATGGCATTAACTGCGTCTGCCACCACCTCGCGTTGTGCCTCTTCAAGAAGATACCCAACTGAGGACTCCTTCGGTTGTTGATACGCCAGCAGAGCAACACAGTCCTACAGAAGAGAGTGTTCTGATGATTGAGTGGAGTAAACTGAAAGATCCAAGAGAGTGTTCTATTTTTGTACTTCCAAAAGAAGCATCAGAAAGATACTCTAGTCAAGCTCAAAGAGCCTAAACAATAAAAGCAAGACATTGAGGTACTGCTTGCCAACCTTAACTAGATCCTCATATCCAGGCAGCTCAAAGAACTTTGCCAGTTCTAACCTTCCATATTTGACAGCCTCCTCTAACGCTCCAACCTAAATATCATATTTAAGTTACAAAGCAGGACTAATATTATAAATTCACACTACTCAAGTTGAAAAGAGATAAACAGAAAATCCTTAAAGAAAAGAAAAAAAAATAAAGATAAAACACATAAAGGGGCAGACAACATGACATTACACTATGAAAGAAAAACATGCATGGTCAGTATCTCTACTATCATCAGTTAAAAATAGTTTCACCAACAGTAATGTAACAGGCGATAGGAATTGGAGGTCTGCACTGAGACTTTCCTTCCCGTCAAGTTTATACGAATAAAATCACTTGCATTGACTTTTTTGTAACAGTAATATAGTTCATACTTGATAGCACAACAGGGTCAAAAACATACCCGAACTAATTCAATGAACTTTTGACAGTGAAGCAGAAAGCAAGTAGCCGATTTATCATCCTGCAGAAAGCAAAAAACTGATGATCAGTTATAGGTAATAAGATTGAGATTAATAAATTTTCACGAAATAAAGGGTAAAAGCAATCTAAATCGAACAAACAAATAAACAGATAAACCCTGGAGACGTTTAGGATCTAATAAAGGCAACAAATCTTTACTATTTGAATTCCATATAAAAGTCTAATATGGTAAAATTACAGAACAAGGAGTGTCATTCAATAATGAAGCAAGCAAACTAAACTGCCATGCATAAGCATGTGAAGAATGATGAGATCACAAGTATTCAGAAGCGCAGAGTTTTACACATCCCGTGAAGGAAGAAAAAAAAAAAAAAAATATATATATATATATCATGTTTCTTTCATAAAAAAGAACGCAAGAACTATATATATATATATATATATATCATGTTTCTTTCATAAAAAAGAACGCAAGAACTAGGATTTAAATACATCACAATTCACATGGTCAGACAGTATATTTAAGTGGAATTATATGAACTGGAATTATATATATACATATAGATCTTCAAAAAATATGATTACCTTTTCTACTACCCTACAATTTTGTATTACCATATTTCTTGAAAAAAAAAATACAGAAAGATTCAACAGTCTACCTGGACAATCTGGGGATACCATTCACGAAGCTTGTCAAATGCATCATGAATCTCACCTTTCCTGATTAGCTTCATTGGCACCCAAAAACAATCCAAAATGTATTATGTTAGTGAAACTACTACATCTTTGTTTGGAAATCAAGCGCTTCAAGATAGAAAATGTTTTAAAGACTACTAATCAAATCCAAGCATATAATCATACATAACAGGGAAAAAGAATGTCTTTACTGTTCAGAAACTGAAAACAAGGGAATATTTAGAAGCTACTCCAAAAACATAATTCATACCACATCAAAACTTTGTTAAATTGGTTTGAAAAAGATTTGAGCATGTAAGATAGTCAAACTATTATGAGGACTGAGGACCAGTTCCAAGAAAAAATCATATACAAGCGCCAACACGTGCGTAAGGGAAGAAGTTACAAGTTGAAGGTTTTTTATAGTTCGTACACAGAAAGGCCATGATTGTCCAGATATGACTTCCATAGGATCTATATACATATGCATTAATAGGCTCTTATAGCTGAATTCGAAAGAGCTCAAATATCAATGACATGCCGTGAACTTTGGACAAGTCCACCCACTAGTTTCATACCTGTCGAAGAACCTTTCTCTGGTTCAGTGCATACACAATGTCATGCTCATCAGACCCATTTTCTTGAGCTATGTATATAGGAGGAACAGTGCTTTTAGTAGCCATGTCAAACGAACCAAGTGTGTCTTCATAGCCATAGTGTAGCAAGTAGGAGCGAACAATCCTGTATCAAAGTGCAAATACAAACAATTGAAGAAAATTTTAAGCGAATGGTACTATCCACAACTATCCAACCAAAACGGGATAGCATTCTCAGTTTGGTTTCCCACTTCCCAGGTAGAATTTCACGTTGATACGTTGCTTCAAAGATAACATGTCAGGCAGCACAGGGAGTGTAATACAGTATGATACAGTTTTTTTCTTTCTAAGTTTTTGTTCCATAAAATTAGATGATGCCAGGCAAGATGTAAGAACATTGAGTGTCTAAAAGAACCACACCTCCCTCCCCCCAACCCTGCCTCTAACCATAAGAATCATATGAGCTATCCAAAATCCAAATCAAAAGCAGAATGTGTTGATTGCGTGTTTTTCAGGGCTAATGAGAACTTACCCGTGACTGACATTTGTTGGTAAAGAAATCTTTTCTATTGTCATTTGCAGCTTCATCCTCTCTTGTGCTTCAAATTCCTAATCAGATGCTACAGCCATAAATATCAAAACAAAAATATGATATCCAGAACATTAACAACATTCATTATCATATAGGAAATATCTAGGGCCCGTTTGGGAAGTGTATTGAACCATGATTTGGCTTTTGATTCAAATTATTTATGAGAGAACTATTGAAGGGAATTTTTTTTTTTATTCAAATTCTCTGTGAGAGGAAAACATTGTAGCAAAATCATGGTTTGAGTTCTGAGTATATGTGCCAAACAACCCCCTAGTTTTAATTGACAGTCCAATATGACTATGATCATAATCAGAACTTAAAAGAAGAACAACAAGGAAAGCTCGCCAACCCGTGAACAAGTTTGACTACATTTTTCTCAATGTCATAACTTGGGTTAATGAGAAAGTTTACATTTCACCTCATATCAAAAGAACAAAAAACACAAACCAAATAGGCAAATATTCACGATCAAAAAAGAGAAGAGAGCACATAACTTACCTTAAGATCGAAAGCAAATGGTTTCTGTCCAAAGTTGACATGCACTCTGCAAAGCAAACACTTAAAAAGAGTCAGAGATCTAGCAATATGACTAAAACGAGAATAAATACCAATGTCGATACAGAGGATATTAAGCATCTAAGATTCACTTCATGTAGGAAGTGTACTTCTAGAAGACGGAACCAGAATCAAAACAAAAACCAAAACAAAAAAACAAACAAAAAAGGTGAAGATCAAGCATCAACTATAATACCAATGTAGCAATATGACTAAAACGAGAATAAATACCAATGTTGATACAGAGGATATTAAGCATCAAAGATTCACTTCATGTAGGAAGTGTACTTCTAGAAGACGGAACCAGAATCAAAACAAAAACCAAAACAAACAAACAAACAAAAAAGGTGAAGATCAAGCATCAACTACAATACATATGATTTTAGAAGGTAAACTTGAAACCACAATCGTGGAAAAAGAAATCACTCACAAGTTAAGCAGAGCATAATTGAAACGAAATATGGGCAAGGAGATTAAATAATTAAAGCCTTGAACTTGATTCTTTATTCACAATCAAGTCCAACTGCTTATCAAGATAGAAGAAGCTTATTTTAAAGAAGATAAACATACTCTTCATTTTGGCTGTGAACTGCAATGGTAGGAAATAGTGAGACCTTCAATTCCTTGTATGCTGTCCCTACAACTGCCCCATTCTTCCTGCCATAAACATGAAAGGCAAAGTACAGGACAATCTTTAAAAATACAGAACAAACAATAAACAAAACTCAACATGCATCAAAAAGCAAATCGAATAAATACTAATTTTAACAAGAATAAATGAAGGGGCCAGAACAACTTACGTAAAAAAGAATTCCTGTGAAGCATAGTTAATACCACCCCCAACAATATCACCAGATGTGTAGGTTGGGCCAAAAGCCTCCCCCTTTCCCTGTCCGCGGTAAAGCATTCCATCATCCCCATGATATCCACAACTGTTTGCCTCCCATCTGACTCATATGAGACAATGAATTATCAATGAACTTCCTTCTGTTTAATTTAGGACATATTTCGTGAATATTACCGGACTCAGATCAAATCCTTGGTTTCTGCACTCGTCTTGTTTTGATTAAGTAAATTACTAGTCTATTTGTTCTATTTTTTTGATTAACATGTTTCTTTTGCTAGAATTGTAATTTAACATGTTTTCTGTCCTTTGTATGGTACTTTTCTCTGGTTGAATAATGAATATGCAATCATTTTGCTGCCTTTTCTCTCCTCGCAGAAATTCCAAGACCTAAATTCGTATAAGTAAAAGAATAAAGAAAGCTCACATAAGGAAACCTATAATGTTCTTGTTCATTATGAAACTAGAATACACAAGCTCCTCATTTCAGCGATCCAAAAGATCAAAACAGAATCCACATACAAACTGAAGATCAATTCCATTGACATCAACCAAACGCGATCGAATTCATCAATAAACTAAAACAAAACTATCTTCCACAGTACTTCTTTATTGCTCCTCTATTTATGTACACACTTTATGACTTCATTTTCTCCTAAATTCACGAATAACAAAACAGACCGAAAGAAAGAAACCCTAACTCACCCTGGCTGCCTCCGCATCTTGAAGTTCTCGCTGGTGAAGCCAATGGCGATTTGGCCTTTGGTCCCCGCGTCCTTCACGAAAATCTCGAAATAGTAGACGAGGCGCTTCACCGGCGCCGGCCGGTTCGCCTGAACAACGCCGACGTCGTGGCCGTGGAGATTGACGCTCGTGTACTTCACCGAAAGCTTGTCCGGCGACATCACCAGGAATCCTCCGGAGCTGTTGAGCGTGTTGAGCTCCGTCGGAGCTTCCTCGTCCTCGTCCATGTCGCACGGCCCCCGGGCCGAGCCCAGCCGTGACCGCTCCAAGAAGTACCGGCCGAGATCTCCGCCGCTACTATTGCTGTTGACGTCGTTCGTCGTCGTGCTCATCGTGGTGGAATCCCGATGAAACCCTAGGATTCGATAAGCATTTACTTCGCAGGTTGAGATTGGGAAGAGCCAATGGGATTGGGAATTCCCTTTCTTCTTCTTTCTGTTTCTTGAAGCGAAAGATAAAAACAGAGCGGAGAGAGAATCCTTCCTACCTCTCGATCAATCTACCCAAATTGCAGAATCCTTTCTACCTCTCGGTTTTGTTTGCCTAATTGCACTTTTTCCCATTTGTTTTTTGTTTTTTGTTTTTTTTGTCTCTCGTTTTTTCATTTGTTTTTTTTTTTTAATTAGATGGATTTGTCCTTGGCTTTTTTTTTTTTTACACGATTTCCCCTAAACTTCTCGTTTATCCGCAATAATGCCATTGATTTATTTATACTAGTGGTATTATTGAACCATCATCACTCGCAGTATGCGTTTTTCATGGATTAAGAGTCATGGATTAAAATTATATAATTAAAATTATTTTTAATTTACGTATATTTTTTGTGAGAAAAAATACTGTAGCGAATTACGAATCATGATTCGAATCAAGGAAACGAATCTCTCTACTAAATATCACCTAAGATACTCTTTTCAATTTTTGATATTCCAAACATTATCGAACCAATAATAATATTGTTATAATATATTATATGTTAATTGATGATACATTCAATTCAACGTTTAGTCTATGGATTTAAAATTATGATTCAGAATTATTCTCGATTTACGTGTATTTTTTGTGAAAAAAATATTGTAACGAACCATGATTTAAATCATAATACAAATCTAGGAACCAAACGCAGAGTTAAATTTTATACATGAGATGTCGTAGTATGTCATAATTTACTTAAGATGTTATTGGTTTAAACAGCATAAGAGAGATTAAAATTTAAAAGAAAATCTAAATCTAAATTTTATATACTTAAAAAATCTATTTTATATTTACTATTACGCTTTTACGGTTATTGATTGTAATTTCCAATTACACTTCATTTTTTTTATATGAGAAAATGACTAATTATAATATCATTGTAATTTTCTTTTGTTTGTCGTATTTATACAAAAAAAAAGTATAATAAATCACAAGAACAACAACAGCAATAATACTCTATTAGTATGGTATAGATGTAAAAGTTTGATTTTCATTAGATTTAATCTTTCTTTTTTGTTATAATACGATTTGTATGTGATCTATTGGTATAAAATTAAAACAGTAATTGATTTTAAGATTATTCTCACCCATGACCCCACAACTTTAGAATCATTTTTATTTTACCACTTGAACTTTAAAAACTTTTGTTTTACCCTTTAAATTTTGAGTTAGTCATACTTAATTCTTTCGGTTAAAAACATACAAAAAAAAATGAGTTAAATGAGATCAGTTGGTCCTTTTTTTTCTTTTTGTTTCTTTTTAGCTAAAATTTTAATAGGGAGAATTAAGTAAGATTAATTCAAAATTCATGTAGTGTGGAGTTTTTGCAAAGTGATAATAACTCTAAAATTAAATGGACACTAATAATAAGAATAATTCTTTATTTTATTATTTAGTTAATATACATTGTATTACATTAAAAAGATTCCACCATTTATCTACTATATATATTATATGTAGAAGAGGAGATGATGACTTTTAAGAGTTTTGCACTTAACTGCTTGTTAGCTTAAGTTTTTCTTATTTCCTTATTAATTTTGTATTTGAAATGTTTCTTACTAAATATTTTTGGTAAATTTTTTAGTTAAATATTATTTATTTGGTATATTTTACGCTTTTTTTTCTTTGGTGCAATATTAATTAATGTTTTTATTTTTTTCACTAAAGATGATCTCCTTATGTGTGTGTATATTTTGGTGTTTTAAATGGGATTTCTTTGTCGATGTTATATGATCAAAATCTCTACGTTTTCAGTGTTTATACAATTGGTGGACAGTGGGGCATTAGACAATGGTACAAAAATTGCAAAGACGTTGAATTAGGAATTAGGAAAGCAGTGTAGGGAGAGAACCATCTGCGGCCTGATATTATTAGGGTATAGTTTTTTGGGACTTTCTTCCTTAGGCCGACTTATGGGTAAGTTTTTAACTGTTAAATTTAGTTAAAATCATATTAAATTAAAAAAATATATAAAATAAATAGTTTTTAATACAGATCTAATATTGAAAAGTAAAATATTACCGGAAGTTCATTTTTTCCGTTCCTACCAGAGAAACTCACTAGCTCTTTAACCTCTTTCTTTCTTGCTATTACCTTTCATAATTCAAAATGTTATGAAAATCCATATATTCAAAAGAGACATATTGATAAGTACCCTTTAAAAGTGCATGAATCTTAATTTTGATCATTTACTATTGATTAATATAATTTTTAATTAAATAACTATATTAACAAAAATGTACTAATCAAGAGTAGAGAGTAAAAGTTCAAATCCACACACTTTTATGGGTAAGTTCAAAAAAAAAAAATTTATTCGCGACTCTCAAAATGCGTATCAATATACATATATTCATTTAAAAAAAATAATATGTATATTTTCAAATATAAAGAAAAAAATTCATGTTAATCTAATAAACATATTCCTGTGGCTCTTAATTAAATACATACATATGTAAACAACTGTATGTAGGTTTTCTATCCCCTGATTTTGAATCAGGACCCAAGTACCAATCTCACACATAGCAGAGGCGTATTCACAAAATGATTCCCTCACTTTGAAGTTTATTTTATTTTATTCTTGAAAATCATTTTCAGTTTTCAATACATTACTTTTAATTTTAACAACAACTCAGAGAAAAAAATTCAAACTGAAACTAAAATTGACTTCAGCGGAACACAAAAGTAGAACAAGAACTCTCAAGCATCTTGGCGTATTGCGATGCACCGTTTCAAAGACGAGAAATGATCAGCTCCTCTCCTTTATTCTTGTTGGCTCTATTTTACTTTGCATAAAACTGGACAAGCAAAGAAAAAAAAAAAAAAAAAAAAAACAAACAAACAAACCGAAAAAAAAAAAACAATATTATTAGTGTCTGAATTGTTGAGTTCGGTGGCAGAGAAACGGAGACAAGAGAAGATAAGAAACAGGGCAATAAAAGGCATTACTGACCTCCACACATGCTCTAATTTGATGCTACAGTTGTAACATACTTCAGGAGCATGACAACCACATCCGATGTGACTTTTGACCCCGATTCCTTCAAGTTTTCGATCTTCGCCTCCGTTTCCTCCTCAAGCCGTTTTGCGACAGATTCAGGGCTCGTCTACAATGATTAATGCAGAATGGAGAACGAGTTTAAAGTTAATGATCTATCATGAACAAACATTGATTAGGCTTGGTTACTAATAAGTCAAACAATTATCAAAACATGGTACGTTTTTATTAATAACGTTTGGCATTATTCTTACTAGGCAGTATAAAATTACTATACACACCTCGGCTATTTTCTTTTGGTATTCAGCTTCCATGTTTGAGCGATAAACTGCCACTTCCCTCTCGGCTTCGTCTTTAGCCTGCTTTAGCCTAGTCATCCTTACTGAGATAGTGCAAAAAACAAAATGCCTAAATTTTAATCGAATACAAAATATTAATTGGATCGCTTCGAAACATTTTCGTTGAATTCAACAGTTTGCGAAAACGAAATACCAAATTAAAAATTTCAAGACAGATAGACGTGAGATATGGTTTTTACGGCTTCTGGCGCTGGAGATAATCTGCTGAGCCTCTTGCTCCGCTGTTAGCAGCATTTGGATACCTCCTTGCCCTCTTAACGAATCCATAGCAACTTCAAAAGTTTATGAATATTAATTCATTGCTTCATATCAAAAAAAAGAAAAAAGAAAAATCTATGGAATGTCAAATATAAATTCATATAAGAGAAATATCCGTCTAGATTTTAGTCCTGAAAAAGCAAATGTAAAATAATTAGAACCTTGAGTAGATTCAAATAATTGTAAATCATTTTTCTTTTTTTGAAAATGCGTTGTTTAACCGGTTATATTGCTAGGAGGTTTAGATTGTTATTAGCTTTTTTGATTACAAGAATAGTTTAGATCTTAATGACACACAATATTATTGTAAACAAAGAGGTTCAAATTTACAGTGTGTTGAAAAGACAAAATCTTGAGATACATGGAATTAGTTAGTACCTGTTGGAAGGATTGTGAAGATGAATATATTTCCTTGGAAATGCTTTCAGGACGAACAATGACAAAATAAGATTGAGAAATTGGTATGGAGAGAAATATTCGAGATTGATTTTTTTTTTTCATGGATAAAAAAGTAACAAAACTAATCCTACGAATGTCTCTCTCCAAACATATACGTGTAAAATACGAGCTTAAAGGGGAGGCTTTATTATTTATATTTGTTTATTTTCTTTCTTTATTAGTTGACTGTTTCCTTCAAGTTTAGAGCATGAAGGAAATACGGTTTGTAACAAATTATTATTATTATTATTGGGGAATTATTTATTTTTTAACTGAGGTGGGGATTTGAAATGAATTCTTGACTCTGAGATTGGAAACACGTTGTGACCACTTTCCAGTTTCCACTTTGCTACAAGCTTTGAGCATCATAGTTAATATTAATTTTTCCCCTGAATTATTTCTATCATTATCTTAGTATAACAGAGAATTATTATAGTCTCGTTTGTTTCACTCATTCGATTGAGTTGGGAATTTGAGTTAAAAAATGAATTCATGTGAAAAAAAAATATTATAGCAGAAAAAGTTAAATTTAAATTTTTTTAAGAAAAAATATTATAGCAAAAACTTTAATTGTGATTCGAACTATCAAAACAAATCGGGCATGATTTTGAAGAAATTAATTAGGCATGTTAGGCGGCACATATGATTGACTTGTAAAGAATGAAAGATATTCTTCCTTCCTTTCTTTCTTTCTTTCCTTTTTTTTTTTTTTTTAATGAATGATATTCGTATATTTGGTTTAATTCATGTCAAATTTGTTTATCGTCGGGGAAAAGAGTACCGAGAAAAAACTTCTCTAAACTAAACCATCTTTGTAAAGTTAAACACTACCACAAATAATAAATAAATATGTAAACTGTATACAGATTACAACACATTACAAAGAGAGAGAATGAAGTCTCCACTGTTATTACTAATTCACTGCACATGATCATTATGATCACGTGTACTTATTCTGCATCAAATCCTTCCCATTATTTTTAACAATTATTAATTAAGAAAGGAATTATATATATATATATATATATATATATAGTTAGGATAGGATTCATGTGGTATTTCCACAGTACTCAGAAGTTCCATCGGCCAAGTGAAGAGTGCAGCCTTCTGGAGCCAAGCAGCAATTGCATTTGGGCTCAAGCCTTTCACAGGAAGACCCACAGGTCATGTACTCCACGTCCAAGCAATATTGTGGACAAATTTTTTGTGCTTTCACATAATTTGCGGATTGGAGTCCCACAAAAGCTGTTGCTACAAATACAATTATTATCAACACTCAATCCACAAATACAAAGCTTACAGAGAGTATTTTGAATAAAATATTAAACATAAAAAGTAAATATGTTGTTCTTAACTATTTCTGATTCATCCATTTTGGTGCATAAATAGTATATAGTCTTTATTGTATTTTGGATATATACGGGGAAAAAAAAAAAAAAAAACTATGAACAATATTTATGAAAGAGAAGAAAATTAAGATTGTGGATTCAGATTACTATACCAATCACAAGGAGGAGAAGAAGAGTAGTGCTCAGTTTGTTGGTTGCAGCCATATTGTGTTTTTTTTTTTTCCACCTTAATTTCTACGAATATATATTTGGAAGGGTCAGAGTATATATATATATATGTATATAGCATGGTCTGCCAGCAATAAAAGTAATATAGACACGAAGATCAACTTGGAAAACTTAGCTCTTTAATTAACTGTTGTTGCGTAAGATGTGATGTGGAGTCGTGATCTCCACATGGTAATTAATCAACTTTATTTTATGGACCATATACGACTGGAGCTATAATAAAATTATTTATATTATCAGATGTTTATCATTCAAAGTTCAAGTTCAACTTGCCTACTGTTCAATTCTGGATTGCACCAGTACTGGATAAGTTTTGACTCATTCATTGATAATATACACACGGAAAAATCAATTTCATCAAAAGTGGAAATCCATAGTTTCGTTTCACATACGATCTTCTTTAGCGGCTTGATTTTTTGGGTAGATTATCTTTCAATAAGACTATTACTCTTATCCAAAATCCAATGTACAGAAGGAGGAAAACGACGTAACATCTAAGAAAGGATAAGGCCTATCCTTAAATTTTCAAAAAAGGTTGCTAATTACATGCAACTTAGACATTATATTCATGTCATATAATTACTTTCTTTTCGTGTTCGAAAGCATGGGGTTTCAAAATATATAAATGATTCCGATACTTATTCTTGGTTATTTTCGCATGTCTTTTCGGTAGGGTTGTTGCTTGCAATATTTTTCTTTGGTTAGATTTGCTATTTTCGCAGCTAAGATTGTAAACAAATTTTTTTTTTTTCCTTTTTATCTTTCTAATAAAATTTGGTGGGGGCTTGGTTAAGTTATTAGTGATTACCAATTTAATTGGAATGTGCTAAGTCTTTCCACCCCATTCTCATTTTTCCATGTACTTTTAAGAAGAGAAAAAAATAATAATAATGATGTGTGTCTCTTTACTAATTCGGTAGCTAACCATATAAATAAAAATAAAATTTAATGTATCTAACTATATAAATAAAAATAAAATACTAAAAATACTTAAACAAATCATGACGTGTTAAAATTTAATTAAAAAACCAGTCACCGATACAGGAGATAAGACACCAGATCTTAATTTCCATTACAGGACTAAGGCCGCGCCACTAGCTCCTTTAAGACTCTGCGCCTTATTCAAAGATTTTGATAGTTTTTTTTTTCCTTTATTTACTACCCTTGAAATTTTTTTGATTAACATATTTACATGGTATTTTTTTAAAAAAAAAAGATTCAATTATCCCTAAGTTTTAAATTTTTTTAAGTAACTCTTATATCGAATTTAAAAGTTAAAAATTAATATTAAAATTCATTACAAGCTTGGGTCATTAAAAAAATAAAGATACGAGGAGGTAAAAAAAAAAAAAAAAAGACTATTTTCTAGTGTAGTTTAGTTCAAATTTTTTATTTGATTCACGCCCCTTAAAAAAAGCTCTGGCTCTGTCACTATAGATCCAAATATGTTATGTATAGAAAAAAAAAATAGATATATTATGGGATATTGTGATGTGTGAACTTCGTAATATATATAAGTGTACATATTTAACGTTACTTTGAAAATGACTTGTATGTTCTCATCTTTCGCCTCTTTGTTCAGGTGTTAGCCCTCCTTTCCCACAATTGGGACAGCTCTTCAATCCAAATCCTTGGCAATCAAAACATCTAACATATAATATGGAAACGCATCAGATTTATTTGGAGCATAGAAGTTGTTAGAACTAGAAAATCAAACGAGGAGAAAACGGAATTGCTTACTTCCAACGCTCGAATATGTTCCCATTCTTCTTATTCTTTCCTGTTCCCTGAGGAGAAAGAAGAAGTTACTAGTTTCAGTTTGCTGTCATACAATAGCAGCATATCATGTTCAGACAATTTATAGTTTATTTACTTTACCTTTTTTTTTTTTTTTTTTTTTTTTTTTTTTTTTTAAAAAAAAAAAATTTCTACATGTATAAGGACATCCTTTCTAATTATAGTTTCATATGGTTTAGTCCTGCACAATATGGATGCTATAACGAGGTTTAACGGTTCTTTTCATGGTTTGAATCGCAATTTAATTTTTTTATTATAATTTTTTTTCATAAAAAATTGAATTTTAGTTCAAATTTTCACTCAAACATGAGAAAATAACAGGACTTAGTGTCCTAGTGAATTGTTTGATGAAAGAAAAATAGATATAATAGATTGATCCAAATATCCGGATCCTATCTATATACATTATGTATCCTATCACAAAAAGAAAAAATAGGCAAGCATGTTTATCCTAAAGAATAACTGACCCTTTCAAAAAAGAAGAATAACTGACTTGTAATTAATTGACTAAGGGTAAAAGAAAAAAAAAAAAAAAAGAATTACCGACTTGTAATTGACAAAGGATACATAGAACGGAAAAATAAATAAAATGAAAGTAAGCACCTTACATCCAGGACACTCTATCGCACCTTTGCCTCCACAGGTTTGACATCTCTTCAGAATCTGTATATGCTATAACTAATTAGTAATCTTTCCAATGTTTGACACTATAAGAAATAACAATCGCATTTAGTCAAGAAAATTAATAGTTAAGCATTAATGTTTGAACAAGAATATATTTAATTTGCCTCTCCAATCAAACTCATTTTTGGTACTAATCAATGAGGCGCTTATTTATGGTTAGTAAATCTAGCTATGAAAAAAATAATAATAATAAATAAAAAAAGAGTGCACCGAATTGAGCGAAAAACCGCCGGATTTTGAAACGAAAACGGTAGTTGTCCGCCGTCTCTGCTGCTCTGTGCTTCTTTTGGGGTTGCCTGGCCTAAGCTTATTATAAGATTGAGGTGGTAATGCAGGGTTCAGAATCAAGCTGTTGCAACAAACGTGGAGATTTGCCATTATTTTCTTGATAATAGTAAGCAAAGGAATATATGAGAACTTAATCTAATTTGGGGAAGAAACTTATTTCTCCTACATGTTTGAAGTAGAACAAGAAAGATGTGGATGACAAGAAACTCATAATCTCATCCACAAAATTCTCCACATCACTCTGGCTTGTGAGTAACATCCATGTGTTGAAGCACTTGTTGCGTCAAAATTTTTTGGAACCATCCAACGGATGGGAAGTTCTAATAGTTACATACACACTTACATGATACGTGGCATGTGTTTTAAGTCTTGTTTCATTCAGATATCATTGATACGCCACAATCTTCGAAACGACAGCATCGTAGAAAACGACGTCGTCCTCAGAAAAGCTTACACAAAAACGACAATTGAAGAAAAGCGACAAAAGACGTGCAATCAACGACAATAAATTAGGAAAAGGATTCCTTAGAAACGACAACAAACTAAAAAACAACCATGTCTTCAAATGAAAATATGATAAAAACGACATGGTCCATGAAGGATAGTTATTAAAAGAAATGACAAAAACTAAATAAAGCGACAATAACTTTAGAAAATAACTATAACGAAAAGAAAATCTTGACACACTACAATGACAATATTGTATAAGTGAGTATATATTAGAAAACGTAGATTGAATAAGAAATGACATCATATTAAAATGACAATATATTTAAAACGCCATAGTTTTGAGGAAAAAGGAGAAAACGATAATGACGAGAATAACGATAATAATCCTAGCAAATAACTTAGCAAATAATCCTAAAACGATAATAACGTCATGAAAAAGGAGAAAATATCAGAAAAATAACAAGAATAATGGATTCAGCAACGACATCGTATCAAATAGAACGATTGCTTTAAAAAAAAAATGAATATAACAAAGGACAATATATATAGATTTTTTTTGCTACTAAGGAGGGCAATAAGCGGCATCATCTTGAAGAATCATCATGAACTTACACATGAACAAATTAAAATGCGATATCATCTAGATTCTCAAAAGTTTCACTTTTCAAACTTTACAGTTCCACTATGAATGAAAGACTGGTAGAAGTTTCAAATTTTTTTTCTCAACCAAAAAACTCAGCTCCAACCAACAGGGAGGGGCCGGAGGGCGTTGCATGTTGAATAGCACTTTTGAAAAAAATAAATAAAAAAATTGTCCAAGCAAAAATCCAAAAGGGGGATAAAATTAAGGGTGGCAATTCCGGTTAGTGGGTTGTATTTGTGTTAATCCATTTATTAATCGTGTCAGAAAATATCAATTCAAATACGACATGTTTATTAAACGTATTAAAAATATCAACCAAAAACACGACCCATTTATTAATCGTGTTAATCGTGTCAACCCGTATAACTCGTTTAAATTAATATATTAAATAAATAACTAATATAATAATGACTTATTTAATATGGTCAAGACATGTCTAACATGTTTATTGGTCAATTTATCTTTTCCTTTAAGAAAAATAAATGAATTTTACCTAAAAATATTAAAATTCACATTATTTGTATTTAATATGTCATATAAACTTTCATATTATATCATATATCATTAAATTACAGATGTCACAGATAATTAATCGTGTCATTTCGTGTTAGGAGGTCAACCCCTAACCTAACACATTTATTAATCTTGTTAATGGTGTCAACTCGATTATGACCCAAACTCATTTATAATAAATTCAAACCCGCTAACTTCATGCGGGTTTTGAGTCGTGTTGTCGTGTTACTATCCGGATTGTCAATCCTAGATAAAATGAATAGTAAATTAAATTAAATTAAGAGAAACGGAAAAAAGGAGGAAAATTGCAGTTCATCTAGAGATGCAAGAATGGGCCGGCCCGTATAAGAATGACCTCGGTTCAGCCCACTCCACGGGCCGTGGGCCAGGATGGGCCGTGCCATAGGCCTTGCATGAGCTGATCTTGGCCCATCATGGGTTTAGATGGGCTAACCCATCTAAGCATGCAATTTTTAATTTTTTAATTTTAATTTTTTATGTTTAAAATTTTAAACAAGTTAACAAATATATAAGTTTAAATAGTCAATAGAAATATGAAAAGAGATATTTTATTTACGATTACCACATTAAATACAAATATTTCTAAGGAAAATCCAGTGAGACAAAACCTCGATAAGGAAAAAGAGTACAATTAGGATAATTATACATAAGATGTTTACAAAATTACTAAAAATAAGAAAAAAAAACATGCCTAGATGGGCTGGGCTAGGCCGGCCCATTATGGGCCGAGACGGGCCAGGCTGGGCCGGTTCATCATGGGCCTGGACAGGCCGGCTCAGTCCGACTCAAGCCTAGCCTAATTTATGATTTTTCATGAGTCGTGTCAAACTGTTCTATAAGCCGATATATATTAACCCAGTCTAACCTATTAATATTTATGGATTAGATCGTATTTTAAACAGTGACAGACCGTACTGATCCAGTCTGTCACTATATCAGAATGAGCCTCGGCCGGCCTGGCCCGGCCCATTGTTGCATTGCTCATAAAAAAGAACTCCTATTTCAGGTACTTTTTTCTCCCCTCTTTTTTGGTTTTGTTTTTCTGTTTCGTTATAATTGGTAAAGACGCGCGGACTTCAACCGAACGATTTCCAAAAGCCCGTTTACTTTTGCCTCGTTTTTCATATTTCCTCTGAAAAACTCAGAAGAATCTGTACCAGAAAAATCTAAAAAGCTCCAAAACAACATCAATGGCAAAACCGACTGACGATTCCAAACCAACCATGGCTTCCTCCGCCAAGGTCCACCCTGCCAACGACCCCGACGTCGATCCCAGCTCTTACTCTCTCGAGAAATTCAGGCTTTACGAAACCAGAGCGGTAAAGTACCATTTTGCCCTTTTTTTTGGGGTGAGTTCTTTGAAATTCCAAGTTTTTTGAGGTTTTTCAGTTCGTTTCGCAGAGATTCTACCTAATTGGGAGTGATCGGAACAAGAGGTTCTTCCGCGTGCTGAAGATTGATCGATCAGAGCCGTCCGATCTCAATCTCAGCGAAGATCCCGTCGTCTACTCGTCGCAGGAGATCAAGAACCTTCTCCAACGGATTGCCGAGGGCAATCGTGCCACCGGAGGCCTAACCTTTGTCACCAAGGTTTATGGAATTGCAGGTCAGTATTTGTACTTTTTAGGGCACACATCTCAGTATTTCTCGGCAGTTTCAGTTCACATTACTCTGTTTTTATTGTTCCTTTCCATAGGTTGCATTAAGTTTCTCGAATCGTATTACTTGATTCTTGTCACCAAGCGTCGGCAAATCGGATGTATTTGTGGTCATGCAATTTATAGTATAGACGAGAGTCAGTTGATTCCAATTCCTCACATCTCGATTCAAACAGATATTGCTCATTCTAAGACCGAGCTGCGGTAATTCGTTTGATCAAATTTTGCAATTTTAAGTTTTTTATTTTGCTTTTGAGTTTCTCAGTCTGGTTATATTGAATGAGTCTACAACAGTATCGAAACAGTGGATTATTATTGGTTCATATTTTTTGTGGTTACAAAGAGGAGGTAAATTCAGGGTTGAAAAGAATGTGATGCTTGAATTATTATTAGTACATATTGTTATATAGCTTTTGTAGATTTTGGGATATACTAAATATTTCTCTTCCCTGAAATGCAGGTACAAAAAGCTTCTATCTAGTGTTGATTTGACCAAAGATTTTTTCTATAGTTACACATATCCTATAATGCAAAGTTTGCAAAAGAATGTTTTGTCGATGGGTGAGGAAGGGATGCCATATGATAATATGTTTGTATGGAATGCTTATCTAACACAAGCTATTCGCTCTAGATGCAATAACTCCATCTGGACGATAGCATTAGTTCATGGGCACTTTGAGCAGGCATGTTTCTCTTTCTCTTCTTTGAGGGGTTTTATGGGTTGAATTTATGTTGCAAAGTGAGTTTCTATTTGGCGATTCATATACCAAAACATGATCGTTATCATTACCCTTGAAAATGACAGATTAGGCTATCAGTCTTCGGGAGGGACTTCAGTGTTTCTTTGGTGGCTAGACGTTCTCGGCATTTTGCTGGGACACGGTATGTTCATAATACAAACTAGTTTTCATATCTACAAAGAAAGTAATCTTTTTATCTAGGTTGCTCTCTCGCGATTTGTGTGTGGGTCAGATTGGTAGAAAAATGTTTTATGTTCATTATTCATTAGGAAATAAAGTAAAATTCAAAAAGCGTTATACTCATGTAAACTACTGCACCATATCCTGCACCTGAAGGTTCTTTATTGTGTTGCATGAAAATCTTTTGAAATATAGATTGGTGATTGAATTAGTGATTACACATAAGGTACAGTGATATTTAAGTAAATATAGGATATTAAATGTTGTCTTAAGTTTCGTAGGTTAGTGTTGCATAAAATTCAAGGATTTAACAAAAATGTCATGAGACCTTTCTGCTTTTTATATATTGTCACCGTTTAATGCTTAAATTGCATTGTTTTAGGTTTATAAGTGAACAACTAGAGTGGTTGTCCCCGGCATACGGTATAAGATATTAGCACTACACAAATAGATTTCTATGGAGGCTTTTTTCACATTTTGTGTTCATAAAACATCGATCTTTCCAATTTCGTTGTTCAAAGTGCTTTGGTGTATATGGAGATATGCATTTGATAAACCATTCATGTGACTGAGACCATGACATATCAATACATATCAATTAGGACTTGATATAAGGAATTTCTTTGTTGTTCAACCACCCAACTGCTCCATATAGTGCTAAATTATATTTTTTTCTTACATTTTTAAGAAGGAATTGTTGTAAGCATAACTTGTTGAGGGTTTTCTCGTTTCTTTGGTCCATGGGATTCCAGTTACCTGAAAAGGGGAGTGAATGATCGGGGCAGGGTTGCAAATGACGTTGAAACTGAGCAGATTCTACTTGATGAAGAAGCTGGGTCATGTAGGGGAAAGATGAGTTCTGTTGTACAGATGCGTGGTTCAATTCCCCTTTTTTGGTCTCAAGAAGTATCAAAATTCCCTAAACCGGATATCATCTGTAAGGATATTGCTCTTATAAGTTTTGATTTCATTTATGCTCTTTTTGCTGAATCTCTTATGCGCTATTCTATTCAAACTTCATTTAGATTGATCTTTTCTATTGGTTTCTTTTTTACTTTAGTACAGAGATACGATCCCACATACCAGGCGACCAAGTCGCATTTTGAAGACCTGGTAGAGAGATACGGAAATCCGATTATTGTGCTTAATCTGATCAAGGTCCGGTTTCTATTTTTCTGGAGCATTTAAAAATTTTCTGGCTTTTGTGGAAAGCGTGTGCATTTGGTGGATTTAGGTTGGATATAAAGGAAGATAGTCAATGAACACGTACCCTCTGCCTTCTAATAAAATAGTGGATAAAACATATGCTTTAGTTTCTTTGGATAAGCTTGGAGTTAGTCTTGTTACTTTCTACATGTGCCTTTATTCTCTTTGTTTATTAACAACATATAGTGTGGGAAATAACCGCATTATCTTTAAAATTATCTTCTAGAAGCAAGCATTATCTCCTAAGGATTATGACCGGCTAGGGCTAGGGATCATGTGATTATCTATTTTCTAGATTTTAGGTGACCGGCTAACAACAGAATTAGGGATAAGTTCTTTTCTCCAATGAGCTTATCTAACTCGTGTATATATATATAGCCCTTTAGTGGCTTGTGTAAATTATTGGAATTAATAAAATATTTTTTTCCTCATTCTTTTCCACATGGTATCAGAGCCATAGGGCTTTTTTTCTAGAAATAAATCCTTCTTTTCCTCAACCTTCATAGCCGAATTTCTCTGATTTTTCCCTCGGCCTTCATAGCCGAATTTCTCTGAATTGCCATCATCGCAGTTCCTTTTTTCCCATTACAGTTTTTTTCTTCCGCAATTTTTCCCTGAATTTGCCTTGTTTTGCGGATTACCCTCTTTCTTGTGATCCCACATCCAAATAAATTCAGAGATGTCAGAAACAACCTCTTCAACTCCCTTGGTTCCAGCAACCCAACAGCATGAGGAAGAACAGATTCAGCGTTCTCCAGGCGATTTCCAGAATATACAGACAGCTTATAGACTCAATGGCAGAACTTACCTGAAGTGGTCCCAATTGGTTCGGACTTTTCTAAAGGGAAAAGGAAAATTAAGTCACTTACTTGGGACTGGACTGCAGGAAGGAGATGCTGGATTCGAAGCCTGAGATGAAGAGGATTCCATGATCATGTCTTGGTTGTGGAATTCCATGACACCTGAAATCAGCGACACATTCATGTCTTTGCCAACCACAAAGGCGATTTGGGATGCTGCACATGGAACCTACTCTAAGGTCCGTGATGCGGCTTTGATTTACGAGATCAAGATCAAAACAGCGGCAACCAAACAAGGAAGTAAAACTGTAACAGAATACGCTAATTTTATGCAAAACTAGTGACAATAACTGGATTATTACAGGGTAATTGACTTGAAGTGCAGTGACTGTGCAGGGGCAATGAAAAGATTCATAGAAAGTGATCGAGTTTATGACTTTCTTACAGGTTTAAACCCGGAATTTGATCTTATACGAATCCAGATCCTAGCGAAGTTGAAAATCCCGTCCTTGGAAGAGGCAATAGCTTTAATCCGGGCTGAGGAAAGTCGCAGATGAGTGATGCTTGAACCTGAAACAGTTGATGGATCTACACGCGCAACCTCTAGTAACAAACAGCGGGGTCTCATCTTGGAACAAGCACCAAAAGCCGAACTTGGATAAACGAAGGATAAAAAGGGAGCAAATCGAGAAGATCTCAAGTGTACCTACTGTAAAAAGCCGCGACATACAAGAGAGCGTTGCTGAAAATTACATGGAAAACCTTCAACAACTAGCCGTGAATGGGGAAATAAAGGAGGACAGCAGCAACGACAACAAGGCCAAGCATATAAGACCTCCCAAGTAAGTCAAGATCAAGCTCAAACTCAAGACCATAGCGGGCTTGAATAATGAAGAGATAGAAAAATTGAGGAACTTGCTGGGAACCCTTGAGAAACCATCCTCCAACACTTGCTCTTTGGCACTCTCGGGTAAGCACTCATTCTCTTGTGGACTAAATGCTTCAGATAAATTGTTTGTGAATTCATGGATTTTAGACTTGGGAGCTACGGATCATATGACACATGCCTCAAACCAATTCAAAACTTACACCCCGTGTCCAAGTAATAGAAAAATTACGATTGCCGATGGAACCACAACCACAGTAGCCGGGGTAGGGGATGTCCATATCGCACCTAGTCTTATCCTCAAAAATGTTTTACATGTCCCAAAACTGTCCACCAACCTTGTGTCTATTCAAAAGCTTACAAAAGACTTACATTGCCATGTTACGTTTTACCCTTCTTATTGTGAGTTTCAGGATCAGGATTCGGGGAAGAAGATTGGACGTGCTGAGGAAAAGGATGGACTCTATTACCTTGAGCCGTCGAATTTTTCACATATGATCAGGAAGAGCCTAACATCCTCATTTTTTTCTTCCTCCAAAAGGGATCTCATTTGGTTGCACCACTACCGCCTTGGCCATCCGTCTTTTGCAGTTTTTAAAATTATGTTTCCTTCTTTATTTAGGGGATTAGATATTAGGGGATTTCATTGTGACATTTGTGAGTATGCAAAACACACTCGTGTTTCCTTTCCTATTAGTAATAAAAGATGTTCTTCGCCTTTCTATCTAATCCACAGTGATATCTGGGGCCCTTCCACTACTCCAAATATCTCTGGTTCGCGTTGGTTTGTGTCCTTTATCGATGATTGTACTAGAGTTACCTGGATCTTTTTGGTCAAAAATAAATCCGATGTGAGTAACATCTTTCCCAATTTTCACTTGATGATTCAAAATCAGTTTGGTACTAAAATCAAGAGATTTAGGTATGACAACGCAAAAGACTACTTTAATCAGTTCTTGTCTTCTTTTTTCCAAAAAGAAGGAATCATCCATGAGTCATCTTGCGTAAAAACTCCACAACAAAACGGGATTGCAGAAAGAAAAAATGGTCACCTCCTAAACACTACCCGGGCACACTCTTGTTTCATCATAACCAAAACACTATTGGGGGGAAGCCGTTCTTACCGCTGCCTATATCATAAACCGAACTCCTTCAAGGGTTTTAGGGTCAAAAAGTCCAATGGAAGCTCTTTCTAAATTCTATCTAGACATCAATACAACCAACAACCTTACACCTAGAATTTTTGGATGCACTTAATTTGTTTATGTCCACAGCAACAATCGGGGAAAGTTGGATCCTAGAGTTGTCAAATGTGTCTTTGTAGGATACTCTTCCACACTGAAAGGGTACAAATGCTATCATCCACCCACCAAAAAGCTCTTTGTCTCGGCCGATGTCACATTTGCATAAGAGAAACCATATTTTGCTCAACCTTATCTTTAGGGGGAGCCCTCTATTATAGAAGATAAGGATTCTTTCCTTCTTGATCTACCGTCCTCTTCTTCATCATCCCATCCTCCCACTCCTAAACTTGTGGAATCCGCAACACCCTCAAAACCTGCCACAGCCTCCCCAGTACCATTTGTGCCTCCTATACAGGATAAGACTCTTGATCATATACGCTTTGAAAAAGGAAAGACGTACTCAAGGAAACGGGGCCCAACCGCCGAATCTAACACAAGTCCAAATCTCCAACCCGACTCTTGAGAATGAGGTAACAATATCTGAACCTACTTTGCCTTTACTGGTAGAACACCCACCTTCATCCCCTGACCTTCAAACACTTAACCAAGAATTGCCTATAGCTATAAGAAAAGGAACCCGCGAATGTACCAAGAGGCTATTATACCCACTATCTTAGTTTGTATCCTTTGAGAGGTTTTCACCATCACATAAAAGCTTTCTTACAGGTTTAAATGAAATTGTTATTCCAAACACTTTGTCTGAGGCATTATCTAAGGAAGAATGGTGAAAAGCTATGGGAGTAGAAATGGATGCTCTGGAAAAAAACGGAACATGGGAGATAGTGGACCTTCCGAGGGGAAAGAAAGCAGTGGGGTGCAAATGGGTCTTTTCTCTAAAATTCAAGGCAGATGGGTCATTAGAGTGCTACAAAGCAAGACTAGTTGTCAAAGGGTACACTCATTCATATGGGGTGGATTATCAAGAGACTTTCGCGCCAGTCGCAAAAATGAACACGGTAAGGATCTTATTTTCATTGGCAGCCAATTATAACTGGGACCTACAACAGTATGATGTGAAGAACGCATTCCTTCACGGGGACTTGGAAGAGGAAATTTATATGACCATTCCCCCTGGGTTCGGAGGAGTTGAAAAAGAAAAAGTATACAAGTTAAAGAAAGCATTGTACGGTTTAAAACAATCAACCTGTGCTTGGTTTGGAAGATTCACCAAAGTGATTCTAGCCACCGGATATAAGCAAAGTCAGGGAGACTACACCCTCCTCATCAAACACTCGGATTCAGGGGGAGTCACAGTCTTGATAGTCTATGTGGACGACATTATTGTAACATGAAACGATGAGAGGGAGAAACAAGCCTTGAAGCAACGCCTGATCAAAGAGTTCAAGATTAAGGAATTGGGAAGGTTGAAATACTTTCTTGGAATTGAGGTGACACATTCAAGACAAGGCATCTTCATTTCACAGCAGAAATATGTCATGGATCTTCTCAGAGAAACAAAAATGCTCGCTAGTAAGCCAGCCGCAACTCCTATAGAGGCAAAACCATAAACTTGAAGCCACTGGTGATCAAATAGTAGACAGAGAAATGTACTAAAGACTAGTTGGGAAACTCATTTACCTTGCACACACCCGGCCAGACATAGCCTATTCCGTAAGCATCATCAGCCAATTCGTGCATAATCCCAAGGAGGTCCACCTACAAGCAGCCTACCGAGTGCTTCATTACCTAAAGGCTAACCCGGGAAAGGGAATAATGTTCAAGAGGAACTCCGAACTTGTCCTTGAGGCTTACACGGATGCAAATTATGCAGGATCTCTCATGGATCGAAGGTCTATTTCCGGATAAGTAATAAACAAAATGTTGTAGCTCGATCAAGTGCAGAAGCTGAGTTTAGGGCAATGGCTTAGGGAGTCTGCGAATTGTTATGGCTGAAGATCATATTGGAGGACTTGAAGATTAAATGGAGTGGGCCGATGAGACTCTACTGCGATAATAAATCAGCAATCAGCATTGCACATAATCCAGTGCAACTCGACCGAACAAAACACGTCGAGGTGGACCGACACTTCATCAAGGAGAAGCTAGATAGTGGATCGATCTGCACACCATATGTTCCCCCAGGAGATCAACTAGTTGATATCTTCACCAAAGGGCTTAATAGTACTACCTTCCAAGAAATTACAACCAAGCTGGGAATGAGACACCTATTCACCAGCTTGAGGGGTAGTGTGGGAAATAACCGCATTATCTTTAACATTATCTTCTAGAAGCAAGCATTATCTCCTAAGGATTATGGCTTAGCTTGATATTGCTTTTTCCTCTTAAAATCAGCTTCTGCTTGTAGCAGAAACTGATTTTAGTGTTTAGTAAATCTCCTCAAAAGTGCTTTTTGAAGAATTTTTTAAGAATCTACAACCAAAATCAGAAGCAGCCTAAAGACAACTTTAGCTTTTAGATTGTGCAAGAATCAACATAGTACAATTAATGAAACTTTCATAATACCAATAATACCCCTAATGAAATTTAAAATTTACAATCTTTCCAAACTAAAATTCAGACTCGTAATATAATATAATATAATATAATATAATAGTTATATTATAACAAATAATATCATAATTATATTAATAACTCTAATATTATTATTTTATCATATAATATGATATTATAATAATATTATAATTATTTTAATAATATGATATTATAATTATAATTTTATAATATATTATATATTATATAATAATTAATATAATTAAATATTAATGTAATTTTATAATTCTAACGTTATTATATATTATAGTGTATTACACTTATATAATATATTAATTATAATATATTTGTTTAATATAATATAATAATGAT